TTAATCCCAGCACTAGGGAGGCAGAGGCAGATGGATCTCTGTGAGTTTGAGACCAGCCAGGTCTACAAGAGCTAGTTCCAGGACACCCTCCAAAGCCACAGAGAAACCATGTCTCCAAAACCAAAAAATACAAAAAATAAACAACAAAAAAATTGAGAGTAGAATTGGAAGAAGGCATTTGGTGTTATGGAAAAAGAGAAGCATGTTCTGGGGATGGGCACTCGGAGTATGAAGAGAGGGAATTTATCATTTTTAACCATGTGATCCCAGCATGTCTCATTGAAAAGGAAGCACTGCATGAAGACATGTGGGGTTGAAAATCTAGAAGATAGTCCAGGTGGAAAAACAGCAAGTGCCAAGCACCTGGGGTGGTAAGGCCCCTGCTGGGTAGGCAATGAGGGGCTGGAATGGACATAGGAGGACAATCTTGGATGAGATGGGAGGAAGAAAGGCATCCAGGTCCTAAGAGGATAGAGAACCATGAAAAGGCTGTGAATTGGGGCAGCTGGAGGGCTTTGGGCTGGTAAGGGAAGAAATAGAGTACTGAGACAGGGAGAGTCCCAGAGAAGCCACTGCAAATGCCTGGTGAGGATGCTGGTGACATGAAGCAGGACAGTGGACGTAGAGGGTGAAATACAGACTCTCCAGGCCCTTCTTAAAAGAAGCATATGCCTTCCCTGTGCTCCAGTTTGGATAAGGAGAGAAAGAAGATGCCAAGGCATCTGCTGAACACAGCTGGAAACAAGCCGTCATCACGGAGGCAGAGAAGATGATGGGCTGACAGATGATGCAAAGGGGTGTTTTGTCTGTTTGCCTGTACGTTTTGGCATGGTAATGCTGATAGGGGATTGACATACACGTCTGAAGTTCAATTGAGATAGTTAATGGCCTTTCTCCCCTAATAAGAGTAAGTCAATTGGGGCTTTCACTTCCCTTTTTATCTTAAGTATTTATTAATTTTGACACTGAACTTCCCTCCCCAAAGGCCTGTTTGTCTGTATGCTTTCCACCTCCTGTCCAATTAGTAAGTTCTTTGAAAGCTGTGATTCATCTTTCTGTAGTAAAAAGGCAAAGGACTTTATTTTAAAAATTGACTGGTCACAGCTGTTTCTACAGTGTGCGCACATATGGGGGTGGTATCTACTGCAGCGGTGGGAGGCCTGGGAAAACAGGATAATCTTTTGTTTGGAAAAGCAAAGTGAGAAATTGTTGGGTACAAAGGTTTCTCGGGTTCAAATGGGAAAGAGAGACAGAAACAAAGAAAGGTAAACGGCCACTACAATACAAAGGCAAAAGCATTCTACCTTTTCTCTTTCAGTTTGAGTCACAGGCATATTGAAAGCATCCCCAAACCACGAAAGAGATGGGAAGAAGTTGTTTTTCAAGGTAGGGACTGTCAAGGGCCCAGCAGCACAGAAGGCAGCTGGCCCGAGGCAGAGCCAATGAAGATGGTTTGATGCTGCCTCATAACTATGTGCCAGGTGTGGTTCTGACGCCTTGTAAGTACTCAGTTGTTTAGTCTCCACAACAGCCTCACCGATAGGCATTATCCATACTTCCGTTTTCCACATGGGAACTCTGTGGCACAGGGAGGCTGCATGACTGGCTTAGCATCTCTAAACTCAGAGCAGAGGGTCTTGTGCTAGTACCCATTGTCATAATGTTGATTCAAAGATGGGGACTGTTAGTCTAGGACAATCTGGGAAATAAAACTGAGAGATATTTGAATCCACACTCAGGAGACAGAGTGCTGGAGAGAACTGGGAGTGACCTCTAGCATCCTCACACATGTGATGGAGAAAAGCGAACCGCAGAGTTCAGAGCAGAGATGGCGCTGCCCCTCTGCTTTGTTCTGTGGGACTTTTTCTGGTTACTAAAGCAGAGTGTCAGCCAGGTGGTGGTGGTGCTCGCCTTTAATCCCAGCACTTGGGAGGCAGAGGCAGGTTGATCTCAGTGAATTCAAGGACAGCCTGGTCTACAAAGTGAGTTCCGGACAGCCAGGACTGTTACACAGAGAAACCCTATCCCTGTGGCAAAAAACAAAAACAAAAACAAAAAAAAAAAAAAAAAAAAAAGAAAAGAAAAAAGAAAAAAAAAGTGTGAGCTCAGAAATCTGGAAGCTACTGGGACACTCCGGTCAGTCAAATTTGAGCTACTCCAAGAAGCTTTGTGCAGATTGTTTGGTTTTTTGTTTTGTAAAAGCTTTAAAAATGAGACCAGAGAAATGGCTCAGCTGTTAGGAGCACATGCTGCTCTTTCAGAGGACCTGAGTTCATTTACTAGAACCCACACTGGGTGGCTCACAACAGTCTATAACTAACTGCAGAGTCCAGCATCTTCTAGCCTCCACATGGCACACACACAACAAGCATGCCCCCCCCACGCATGCACACACATACACATAAACCATGCACACAGACACATACACAGCATGCACACACAAGCATGAACACATATACACACAAACAAGAACACACACAGACACACACAAGCATGGACATACACACACACACACATACACATACAAACACACACACAATCTTTTTTAAAAGTTAGGAAGCGGTAAGCCAAACCTGCTTAACCTTGCCACTAAGCAGACACAAAGGAAATTGCTCAGACATGTATCACTGCCCCCAGCACCTCACCTCACCCCCATACCCATAGTAGGCAGGCACGTTCATTATTCCTGCTTCGGAAAGAGCTGGTACCTTGGGGTTCCGGAGAAAGAGCACTCAGCTTGCCTTCCCTCCCATGAACAATTGAGCAGAAGGAAACAGGACATTCAGGCCTGGACTTCCCCACAGGAAACTCTGGCCTCCTGCTTCCCTTCTCCACAGCTCTGGTAGAGTTCCAGGTGAGCTACAGCCTGCTGGATAAGCAGACTCCAAGGAGGGCTAGCGAGCACAGATAGATTTAAAAATATTTTTTAAAACCTTGTTGCATTCTTAAAATACTCTTTACAAATAGTTGTATTATTTTATATGTGTGGCGTTTTTGCCTACATGTGTATCTGTATACCTCTTGTGTGCCTGATGCCTGAGGAGGTGTCAGTCAGATCTGGAGTTACAGTTGGTTGTGAGCTATCTTGTTGGTTCTGGGAATCAAACTTAGATCCTCTGGAAGAGAAACCAGTGCTCTTAACCACTGAGCCATCTTTCCAGCCCCAACTTGTTAGAATAGCAATTTTTAAAAATTTCCAATTCATCACTGAAGGGTACATATTATCCTCAACTTACTCTGTGTGGAGCTGGGGGAATTGGAAAATATTGGTTCTTAAATACCTGGGTCCACCTGAACCCCTTTAGCACTTTCCCGAACCCTGCTCACCACCCAGCAGGGACACCAATTCTACCTTAATAACATTATTGTTTTTGAACATGGTCTTAGTGTGTAGCTTGAGCTCTCAATTCTCCTGCCTCTACCTTCCTTGTACTGGCATTTAAAATGTACATCACTTCTTGATTTAAATGCCCTTTCTATGTGAAGATATCTAGCACCATATTGATAACCTGATCTTGAATTTAGCACTCACTACTAGCTTTTAATTGGTTAAATATGTGAAAATGTATGAGTCAAAAGTCTAATTCTCTAAGATATTTCTTGCAGCTAGGGCTGCATATACATATACACCATATACAACCATTTAGGGTGCAAAGCAATGCCTTACATCAGTCAATAGACAAGGCAGATAGAAGGGTCTGGAAGTTCCAAGAGAAGACATCAGGGTGGATGGAAGAGGTGGGATCTGAGTTGGCTGGAGAAGAGGGAAGGTTTAGACCAGCAGACAGGTGAGACAGAAAACTCCAGACTTTGCATTTTGCATTGCCCACAATTGTTAGTCTGCTAGTTATTCTATGGGTACATCCTAGAGAGCACTGTGCATCCCTTGCACCATCAGAAGCAGGACACTAGTGAAGAGCTGATCCCAGAGAAAGCCATACCATCAAGTAATCTGCTTGGTTGTATTCAAGTCCACAAGGCAAAGTGCTGTGAGGGTAAAGAGAGGAAGGCCTGACCAACACAGGTGAAGAGGAAAGGACAAAAGGAATGTGACAGTAATAACCACATTAAGAGCCATGCCAGCAACATTGACAACATTGACAAGGTACTTATTTATTGTGGCACACCATAAGAGGAGCTGGACGTGGATCAACTCGTCTGAGTTTCATGACAGTCTGAAGAAGAGATATTCATTCTTGTTATTTTTGTTGTGCTTAGGATCCAACCTAGCTCCTCCAGGATGCTCTAAGTAGGATCTCTGCCATTGAGCTACATCTCTCGCCAATATTATGATCATCACCATCACCATCATAGTATTATGAGAGGAGAAAGGAAGGGATGGAGGGATTCATAAATAGCTTTCTCCAAGTTTTCAAATTCAGGTCTGTGAATTTGAAACATGGACTCTGAGCCACAGCAGGATATTTTTTTTCTCCTCAACTCCTTAGTCCTGCAGAGAACAGCTTCTTCTACAAAGTGTAACCTATCCTCTCTGTCATTGCTTGGTGAGTGCTTAATAAGACTGATGGATGACAGGGCTTGAGATGTAGCCTGGAGCTGGAATGCACCTCCTTTCTATTCCACAGCAATTGGGGGGTGGGCCAGAGGAGCAGCTGCCCTCACCTCTGAAGGCTGAGTGAACATCTTGTCGGGACTTCCCTTCACCTTCACAGTCTCTCTCTATCTTGAGAAATCATCTAGTTTATCCAAGTCTGCCTCACACCCCAGGAACCTCAAACAATGAGGCAACAGACCAATGGGATGTCCCTCACTATTTACCCAATGGGATGTCCCTCACCATTTATCCAATGGGATGACTCTCACTATTTATCCAATGGGGTGTCCCTCACTATTCATCCAGTGGAATGTCTCTCACTATTTATCCAATGGGATATCCCTCATTATATATCCAAGTCATTCATGCTGTTGTTACTAAATTGTTGTGTGAAAAAACGCCACAAACCAAAAACAACTTACAGATGAAAGACTTTATTTTGGTTTACAGTTCTAGCATGATGTGTCAATCATGGGCGTGGAGGGAGAAGGGAAGCTTGGCAGCGAGCTACAGACATGGTGGCCAGGGCAGGAAGCTGAGAGCTCTCATCTTCAACCAGAAGCACAAAGTAGAGAGATCAAACTGAAACAGGGTAAGGTTATAAACTTACAAAGCCAGTCCCCATGACATACTTCCTCCAACTTCCTCCCTAAACAATGTCATCAATTGAGAACTTTTCAAATACCAGAGCCTATGGGTGGGGTGGGTGGGTGGGTATTTCTCATTAAAAACATCGCAATTATCCACTAAAACTGGGTCAAGATTTTAGCAGTGTTTGTGGTTAATAACACGCCCTGCCCCAAATCCTTTCAACACTTTCCCACTCCACTGGCAAAGGAATTTCTCTACAGCTGAGAACCCAAATGTTCAATCACATAATTTTAGGGATTCAAAGAGGAGATTACAAAAGCAATATGTACGTTCCATTTCACATCAAAGAGAACAGGAATGGAAAAGGAAACAATAATCATCCCATCACTCCCTGTGGTGGTTTGAAAGAAAAAGTCCCCCAAAGGAAATGACACTATCAGGAGGTGTGGCTTTATTGGAGTAGGTATGACCGTGTTGGAGGAAGTGTGTCACTATGGAAGCAGACTCTGAGGTCTCATATATGCTCAAGTTTCACTCAGTGTGATACTCAGACCACTTCCTGTTGCCTGCAAGATGTAGGACTCTCAGCTACTTCTCCAGGACCATGTCTGCCTGCATCTTGTCATGTCCCACCACAATGATAATGGACTGAACCTCTGAACTGAAAGAGAGCCACTCCAATTAAATATTGTCTTTATAAGAGTTGCTGTGGTCATGGTGTCTCTTCATAGCAATAGAACCCTAACTGAAACACTCTCCCATTTTTATTTTCCACAAAGTAATTAGTATGAACAACTTGAAGCCTTCCCTAAAAACATAGACAATACACACAGGTCTTCTCAAAGCTGTGCCAAGTGCAAACAAACCATAGCCTGCAGGCTAAATCTGACCCACTGACTGCTTTTATCAATAAAGCTTTTGGAACACAGCCACCTCTATTCTCCTACATATTGGCAATAGCTACATCTTTCTGCCAGATGTAAAAAGATGAATCATTGTGACAGAGGCCATGGGTCACACAAAATCTAAAATAGTTATGATTCAGCCATTTGCAGAAAGTGCTTTTTTCTTCCTGGCCCATGCCCTGTTCTCTCAACTATTTCATGATAGTTGAGAGACATCAGATAATATCATGGACACCCTTTGGGTCACTGAGTATGGGTTTAACTTTCTCTTTTCTTTTCTCTATCCTTCCCCTCCCTCTCTTTCTCCTTCCCTCTTTTTGTTTTGTTTGAGAGATATTTTTTGCTGTACATTTAACCCAGGTGTAATGCTATATATTAACATAAATGCTCTCCTCCTGCCTCAGCCATCCAAGTGCTGTAGTTACAGGAGTGTACCACCATGCCCAGCTTAGATCTCTTTTACTTTGTTTTGTTTTGTTTCTTTGTGTAGCTTTGGGGCCTATCCTGGCACTCTCTCTAGAGACCAGGCTGGCCTTGAACTCACAGCGATCTGCCTGCCTCTGCCTACCAAGTGCTGGGAATAAAGGCGTGCGCCACCAACGCCCGGCGTTCTTTTTCTTTTAAGAAGCTAGCCATATTTCAGTGGCAAATGGTACCTGTGGTCAAGCCTGATGACTCCTGCACCCCCCGCCCACAGCGTGGTATAATGTCCTCTAATCTTTACACAGACACCCACACACAGATGCATAAACAAACAAATAAATGTAATACTGATGAAATTATTTTCAAAGACCTATCAAAGACCTATCATTTCACAACATAAAAAAAGTATTACTAACTCAAATTTCACTATCAATGACCATCAGATTGTTTTCAGGCTTCTGCCTCTATGGATAATGCTAAGGGGAGCTAGATGTGCTAACTAAGAGGCTAGAGAAACACAGCCTCATTGCAGACATGCAACTCCTATGGTAAACTTCTGAAGCAGAAGTTTGAGCCAGCCCTGGTTGGAGGGCTAGGAGGAATTAGACTTTGAAGAAACAAAGTATGTCTCCAAGTGATACCTGCGTCCTCCTGGTCACCTGGTGCTTCCTGGAAGTCACCAGTGGTAGAGCTTTTGCTGAGTATGCTTTCTGTTACCTGCCCTCTCCTGTCTTCTAAGAAACTCTCCCAGTGCCAGCCTGGGGCACACACCACCACATCCAGACCATGTTTTCTGCCACTGGCAGAATAAAAGGCCTCTTGGAACAAAGCAGGAAGAGTTACAAAAGGAGTGTTCACAGATACTTAGTCCTGACCTCCTGGAGTGTCAGAGTCCCAAAGCCACAGCTCCTCCCCAGAAGGTGATACATCTGTTTTCCCATAGGAATTCTGGGAACTCGGGTGTGCTCCAGTGTCCTAAAGACACAACCATGGTACCATGTCTAGGTTATCAATCAGGCTTGAGGCCCGTCGCATTACCCCTCCTTACCAGCCTTCCCACGGCTCTTGTCAGAGGATAAGACACAGCACATTTCTCAATGATTCATTAACACTTCCCTCCTGTCACTGACCTTTCGTCTGTCATTCCAAAGGTCTTCCTCAGGCTGGCAGTCACGTGCTCCCTTCTTCCTCCCGCCATCCTGTTTGGGAAGATAAATTCATTTCTGAGCCATCAGTCCACATCTTACTAGGCAAAGAATACCAGCATGGGCCTCATCAGCCCTTCTTCCGGTTGCTGCTCCCATCATGACCTGCTTTCCTAGCTCCAGTGTGAGCCCACAGGGGAAAGACCCTTTTATCTCCAGCACTTTGCCATCTGGACCAGCCTTCCGGAACATTCCTGAAAGTCATAAATCTTTGCAAACTAGGGTTTCCTTTCTGGATCCTGCCTGTAAACTTGACCATACTGTTGCTAAATTTTAACAAAGCAATCGTGATAAAAATGTTACAAAAGAGGCAAACTTCAAGAGGAAAGGTGGGTATCCTTTGGTGTTTGTGCTGCCCCCTACTGGAGACAAATCAACAAATCTGCCGGCTAGTCTGCTCGTGCTCAAAATGCTCATTGTTTTAATTTAGGTTGACTTAAAATATCAGTCTTGGAAAGTAACATTCATCTTTGTTATAAAGGCAAAGCACACCGTGGTCTGTTTCAGGCCTCCTAATGTCCATTAAACTGTTCTTGCCCTTTGATCCAGTAATTTGCTTTCCAGAAATCTGCCCTGATAAATAAGAAGAAAAGTAAACAAGAGATTACTCACAGAGACGACTATATTGTCACTATTCGTGGTAGCCAAGAACCAGAATGAAGTTAAATGTTCAATGAGCAGGTGATTCAGGATAGCCATAGGCCAGGCTAGTGGGCTCCTTAGAAGCAAGATGTTGAAGGGTATGAAGAGGTATTTATGTCATGGTAAGTCAGCAAGACCTACCACACAACTGTACAGTCTCATCTAAATATGCATGTGAATAAGTCTGGAAGGGATATGCCAAAGCCTCCTTCCTGTGGCTTCTTTGAATGATAAGATTGGTCTATTTTATATGCTCATATATGTTTTAATTTTCCTGCAAACATAAAACTTGCATGGTGGAAGAGCAAGGCTTTAGGACCAAACAACTAGTTTCCATCTTCATTCTCTATCCCTGGACAAGTGACTCAAGCTGTGCAAATAGACCTGCTCTCTCAGCAGTAAATGACAGTCGTAACAGGATCTGCATCTCTGTGAGGACCATACACATCGCCCACATGCACTGCTCTTGGGCTCTTGGTGATAAGCAATGGATGTCACTCTAAAAGAGGATAGAGTGGGCAAGCTGTTCCCCCACAACATAAGGCCAAGTCTGCATCCTCTCTTCCACAAAATGCAGAGGAGCAGAAATGATGTGGTTTCTACAAGTTGTCTTGCACGCTCAGGGAAGTCCTTGCTCTTTTAGCTGCTAAACCAGCCACTTTGCATGACTAGGTCTCCAAGAAATTGAAACCACATTTCAGAGGCAGGCTTGTGGGCACTACTTCTAGCACTGAAGAAATTATCCCAGTAGCCACAAAGGGGGCCAAGACTTCTTATATATTTTCAAAGTGGGTGGAGTCAACACTTTAGCCGGTATATGATCTTGAATACTATTTATGGAGAGCGATTGAGAACATTCATTAACATGTTATGAATCTCACCAGTGAAAATTCATTTCTGAAGTTTGATATGCTCATTAGCAAAATATCCATTGTCTCTCAAAGGTTACGGTATCCGAAGCATGTAAAATGACCGCTTTGCAATGAGATTTTTTTGATATAATATTGACTGAATGTTGGTTAGCATGGAACTGCCCATGGGGGTCCAACTTCAAAAAAATACATACATATATAAATATCATATGGTATGTGCTTACATGCTTCAGGGAGATTACAGACCTGCAATGCAAGAAAAACAACCTCTGTACAGCAAGTAAGCAACAAATTATGTGGTATGAACTCTTATGCAAAAATTCCTACTGGCTAAATATTTGAATTTCATACTTTTGGCAGGTACTCCCTTAAAGATTTCGAACTACAGCTTTCTATCTTCTTTGCTTTGCTTCCTTCTATCTCTTTTTTCTTTCCCTCTTGTCTTCTGTCTTTTCCATTCATTTTTTTCCTTCCTCCCTTTCTCCACCCCTTCCTTTCTTTTTTCTTTCCTTCCCTTCTCCTTCCCTCCCTCTCTCTCCTCCACCTTTCTTCTTTCCTCTTCTTTCCTGTTTGAACAACTGGGAATGGTGCTCTGGCTTTGCTTGGTTAATTCCGAGCCAGCTATAGAGCCGATCATAGGCTGGTCTTGGAAGATCGTGTGGGGGTCTTTGCCTTTCAATATATCAGCCCTTCACAAGTCTTAGTTGTGAGCTTACAATCCCCCCTCCCCCGCCTTTCCTGTTTTTTTTTTTTTTTTTTTTTTTTTTTTTTTTTTTTTGTGGCTGACATGGCTCAGCCGGTCAAGGTGCATGTCACTAAGTCTGACAACCTGCCTTGGATCCCTGGGACCCACGTGGTAGAAGAAGAGAAGCAGCAACTCCTGCAGGTTGTACATTGACCTCCATATACTTGATGAATGCACCTTCCCTCCCCACAATAAACACATAAATGTTCAAAAAGGGGAGGGTCCTCTTTCACAAAACAATGCCCTCTATTGAAACAACATTGTTCTTGTTTTCAACTCAGTGATGCACTTCCTGGAAGCCATTCACCTGCTCTGCAGGAGTTATCATCACTGTGCACTATGCAGGGCCTGACTGGTATTTAAAAGCACCCACAAGCTCTTAAACAGAGACATGGCATGGGAAAACAAAGTGGCCAAATCACCTGACTTGAGAGGAAGAGTTTTATGAATTGTTTTCTCCACTCCACACTGAAGTGCGGCCATGTTTACTAGTGAGGCTCCAAGCAGAACCCTAAAGGGAAAGAATGGGTGCTGCTCCCAGAGGCTCTTGGGGCTGGAGGAAGTACTCCACCCTACTATCCCCTTCATATCTTCTACTCCTCAGGAATTCCATGCAGAGGCCTGCTTTGGTATTCTGAGAGTTCTCCATTTAGGGAGGTTTATCAGAGAAATCAAAGCAGGAAATATTTGGCTCCGATAAGAGGACTACTTGGCATTCCTCCCATTCTTCAGAGAAACCTAGATCAAGGCAGGGGACTGGGGACAGGCCAGTGTGAGGTAACACCGCACACTCCTAAAGTGCCCAAGACTTTTGTTTGTTTGTTTTTGTTTTTTTTTGAGACAAAAGTTTCTCTGTGTAGCCCTGGCTGTCTTGGAACTCATTCGTAAACTAGGTTGGCCTCAAACTCAGAGATCCACTTACTTCTGTCTCCCAGGTGCTGGTATTAAAGGTGTGTGCTACCGACGCCAGGCATAAACGGCTATTTCTTTCTATTGGAACCTCGGCTTCTACAGCAACAGTGTGCTATCGTGATGCCCTCCCTCTTCTCATGGGGCAGGACTTTCCTTTCAACTTCCCCACTCCTTCTCAGTGCTGTTTCCTGGCTGGTAATCTCAGATGGAGGGGATTTACACAGGACAACTACAATGGGGGCAAGAGCAAGAGCCGACGCTTATGGGGAATGCTCTGTGGAGCAGGAGTGACCGTGGGCTTATAGATTAACTTCTTCATAGTCATTTGGCTAGAGTCTGACTTGGTAACTCACTCTGAGCACAGGTCCCAGTTGGGATCAGAGGGCACCAGCTTCAGCCTTTTTAAGCCTACTCTCTAGCATTGTGGTAGAATATTAAGACCACCTTAAGCACCACTGTCACATCACAGCTCTAGGCACAGGTAAGTGGACATGTTCAATGAGCATCTTCAATTTATAGCTCTTGGGTACCATGCCACATACCCACAGCAGCCGTAACTCTTTCTGCCTCGGAACCACGGAGGTTTCCAAGCGCGAATCTCCCTTAAGCACTAGAATATTAAAATGGCTCAATTTCTAGAGGCTATTGAGCAAAATAACCTGAACAAATTAATTTCTCTTGGTACAGCAGGCTCCATTTGTCATACTATGAACTGGGTAGCTCAGGAGGCTCAGGTAGCCTGTTAACCACGTGGATGTGACATGAAGATGTTGAGTGTCTCTGTTCCTGTTTGTGACCAGCCCCATTGCCTCTCTAAAGACAGTCAGGAGTCCAAATGATTTGAGTTTTTTATGGGCTAATGTTTCAAGTAAGAATTAGATGCAAGTTGGACAGAATTTAATTCTCCTTTTTCCAAGAGAGATAAGCTTGCCTGTTCACCACAGCTGGCTCTGAAGTCCCCAAAGACATGCCAAGTCTCACTTGGTCCTTTTAGTACCCTGCTCTCAGCTAGAGTTCAACTTTATTCAGAGCAAGAAGTAAAAACAGTTTTTTCCTGCTGGCCTGTTGTTTGCCTAAGAAAGGAGCTGTGTGTGAAGTTTTCAGTGTGTGGGCCTTAAGTCACAAAAGGCATGAAGGCAGGGTCCCCTATCTATTCTTTGTCCTTTCAAGGGGCACATACTTCAAGGCCTGCAAAGAGAGGTATTGGTTATAGGGCTTGGAAGCAGACTTGGTAGCTAAAATGCCTGGTACAGCAACCTAGCAACTACTATTAATGTGATCCTCGATTTCCAGGGGAGAATAATAGTTCCTTTTCCACTGTGGCCCACAGCATTACATACAAGTACACTCTGTATCATTATTGTCATTTGAGGCAGGCTGGTAAGGAGAACTAATGTGGCTGCAGGTGTTCCAGTAACAGGAAAGAAGAAATTGTGCTGATCCAGACAGAACCTGCTGCACTTGACTTGGCAGACTGAGCCCATGGCAGACCAACCCACGATTCTCAAACCCCCTCACATGCTCTCAGAGCAGCCCCAAATCCAGACTCTGCAACAGGTTCCAGTTTGTAAACACTGACAATAAACGGAAACATTACCAAACCCTAGACTGAACTAAACACAGCATGTGAGTGGGGGACCAAGCCAGATGCTGTGGCTGCTGACTTGACTCAGAGTCACTCCATCCTGCCACCACCAAATGTTGGATATGAGCTCTATAACTCAAAATAAATAGAGCCTCCTGGTAATCTCTCTCTACCTTCCCACCTTTGTTTCTTTTCCAATTTTTTTGAGGTAGGGTTTTTTTTTTTGTGTAGCCCTGGCTGTCCAGGAACTTGCTTTTTATCCTTCCTCTGCCTCCCAAGTGCTGGAATTAAAGATGTACCACCCTGACCGAATTCCTTTTAGTTATAGTCAAAGTAGGATTTGGTTATTAAAAGTGAAATGAGACAGATATTGATGGCTAAGCTGCTAATGAAGCTGGCAGTGGCCTGCAGTGGCCAGGGTCAAGGATATCCCATCCCAAGAAAGATTCATGTTGGGGTGGAGTGGCAGACATAGTCCTTATGATGGATATCAGCAGATCTTTGAATTGTAAGATCTTTTCTAGTCAACACTTT